CCTACCTCTCTACTCTTTCTACTTTTTTCTCCTTTTCTTTCTTCTTTTTTTAATTTAACACATTATCTTTGTTGGAGCTCTTATCACTCTCAAGATTTTAGGGATTACTTGAAGGTTTTCTGTGGGTATAATCTCTCCTGATCTTTAGTCCTGAACTCCTAACCACTTCTGAGATGTCTTTACATTCAAAGGACCAAACACTTAATAAGCTTCAGTGTCCTCAAACCTCCTTCCCAATGTATGTGCTATTGTTGCTGTATTTTAATTCTTTCAAAAACTTAAGAATACATTATTGTTTTATATAATCCATGTGTTTTAACTTTCTATTTTCACATTCCCTTTTGCATCCCAAATAATTTCTGTCTGAAGTTACCTTTTAGAACTTCCATTAGAAGACTTCTGGGAAGTGTCCAGTAATGGCAGTTCTGTTTTAGCTGTCTGTCTGAAGTTACCTTAACTTTGCCTTGAAAAACATTTCTGCTAGATAGTTGGTATTCTAAGTTGATAGTTATTGTCTTTCAGAACTGTTGAGGAATCATTCTATTGTCTTCTGGCTTCCACTGTTGCTACTGGGAAATCAGCTGTTGGTCTCCTTTGAAAGCAATGCCTTTTATCCCCCACCCCCACCCCCCACCCTTTTTTGCAGTTTTTGGCCGGGGCTGAGTTTGAACCCGCCACCTCTGGCATATGGGGCCAGCACCCTATTCCTTTGAGCTACAGGTGCTGCCCTTTTTTCCCCGTTATTAATATCTTTGGCTAGAAGAAAATGTTCACAGCCAACCAACTTGTGGACAAAGACTATGCAAAAAGCGTGTCTATGACATGTGTCTGTCATATATGGATTTTTCTTTCCTTTTAATTCTGCGGAGAATTTGTAGGGCTTCTTTAAACACTGCCTCTGCCCATACTAGACATAGTACTCCTAAAGACTTTCTCACTCCATCCTTTATGTCTCCTAAACTATCTTTCAGTCTTATGTCCCTTTATGCTGCTTTCCACATAATTCCTTTAGTTCTATCTTCTACTTCACTAACTTTCTTTACTCTTCTAATCTGCCTTAATATCTATCAATTCTGTTTTTATTTCAACTATTACACTTTTCCCTTTGGAAATTCTCTTTAGTTCTTTTCCAAATATGTTTGCTCTACATTTTTTTTCTTTTGGAGACAGACTCTTACTATGTCACCCTGGGTAGAGTACCATGACATCACAGCTCACAGCAACCTCAAACTCTTGGGCTTGTGATTCTCTTGCCTCAGCCTCCCAAGTAGCTGGGACTACAGGCACTTGTCACAATGCCTGGCTTTTTTGGGGGGGGTTGTAGTTGTCATTGTTGTTAACAGGCCCAGGCTGGATTTGAACACACCAGCTCTAGGTTATGTGGCTGGCACCCTAGCCACTGAGCTACAGGTGCCAAGCCAAGCTCTTCATATTTTTAAGACTTTTATTTCTTAAACATATTAAACATTTTATAATTTTATAGCCTGTATCTGATAATTTCTATATCTGAAGTATCCTCAGGTCTGATTCTGTTCATCATTTTTCCTACAGGCTCTTATTTGATCTCGTTTTTTGGCGAGTTTTGTGATTTCTGTGATCTGCTTATTAATCTTTGAACTTTATTTGTGGAAATCTCAAAAAGGGCAGAACAGAGATCCAAAGAATATCTGTATCACCTTCTCTTGGGTGCCAGAGACTACTACCATTTCAAAACTACTTCAAATCAATTCTCAGCTTGAGGTTTTACAAAGACTCACTTAGTATAAATCTAGGCTACAATTTCAAGTGAAGGCCTTCTTATAGCTATGAATTCTCAATGGAAACAACATGAAGGTTTGAGTGAAGCAATTTTCCTTGCAGTTCCCTGAAAAGGGAAATGAACTTATTTGTTGGTCGCTGTAACACTAAAGGTATAGTCTCATTGGAATCCCAAGTTTATTGGTAGAATGGGAAGGAGACATCAGTTAGATTTTCTACCTTCATTCAGAACCAAGGATTTGTGTCCTGACTTCTGAGCCCCAGGCAGCTACAGAGCTATGAAAATTGATTTGGCAAATGTCCTCAAGGCTAATGTTTTTACTTTCCTGCATTCCTTTGTTCACTTAGTTTTTGGCTTAAGCATTCCATATTTTCCTTCTAGCAAATTGTCTACATTTTAAATTATTTTCAGTTGGAGGACTGGTCCAGATACCAAGTTTGCTCTGCTGCCAGAAAGGGAAATTCTAAATAGTACCTTCAAGCATTGGAAAATAGTAAATATATGCCAGGAAACAACAATTTGATCAGTGTTCTATCTCCTTGAACATTATGTCCTACATTCAATCCATCATAACAAACTCTGTTGATGAATTCTGCCCTCAAATCTCTGATTTATTCTTAAATACTCGATACTATTACTATCATCCTAATTCTGGGCTTTCTCTTTTTAGCTAAGCTAGAGTGGCTGGGGGGCAGGGATCTAAAACTTAGCCTGCACACAATTAAGAGTTCACACTTGCTAAAACATTGGCTTTCTTATTTGTTACATTGGTATCCTCTTACAGAAATCTTCATCACCACCGTTTACTTAATAATGGGTTGAGCTTCCAAATGTTATTTTTCCAGGGTTTGGTCCCATTTTGCCTATCCAAGCACAGATTTTCAGCCAAAATAGGTCTGTCTGTCTTCTTCCCCTATATAAGCCATGCATTCTTGATCCATAGTCTTATTACCTGAATTATACCAATTCTTTCAGGCCTCTTTCACTGGCAAAGCTTTCGCTCATATTCTTAACATGCTCATCTGCTTTCTAATTTCCCTGAGCCCTTGTGTATACAGTATATATAATTAGCTAGACTCAATTTGATAGCTTAATTCCAGGCACTGAAGAGTTCTATCGGTAGCTTAACAAGATTTCTAACCTAAGTCTAATTCCAAAGTTTGTGCTTTTTCTACTATATAAAACTCCTCTCTATATTCAATAAATCATTATTGGTTTGCATAAAAAATCAGACTCTATAAAATCAGATGTAACAATGCTTTACATTTAACTGGTTTATCTTAGGTTGGCTGGAAGAAAATCTTAAATAGCATTATAATTTTTAAACTTTATTCATTAAAGTAAATTTCTTAGAATCCTCTCAAAGGAATTCTGAAGCAGCTTACTAATAAAGATAAACATTAGCTCCTTGAGATGTAATTACTCACTCTCTGAAACTCTAATCAAACTACAAAACCACTCTTCAGGGTAAATACTACCCCTGCAATTGTAAACCTGAAGAAAATGGCTTACACATCTAGAAGTTTACCCCAGGGACCACACCACTCTGGTGTTAAGGAAAAGATACTAAAAGTTTTATAAATTATTCTGATGTTGATAAACAACCAATCCAGCTAAAATAAGCTGCATTACACCAAATTTACCCACTTCACTAAATAGCTTTTATCTCTACGCTAGACTTCAATAGTAATTATGACAGTGACTGTCATTTGGGGTTATAATGCATAACTTTTTGCTTGCATTAAAGAGCTCTTACCTCTCTTTATTTCTAAGTAACATAAGAAATCAAACTGAGTCTCAAATTATCTTGGATAATTTATGGAGCTGGCTTTTAATATAAAAATAAAAGAACCCTCTTGGCACGTAGAATTTTGAAAAATGGTTGCTTAATTCTAGGCCAAACAAGGGAGGACAGACTGGGAAAAGTACGCTATTCTTAGTATTTCTACCATAGGACAGTGTTTGTCTCTCTTACCTTTCCTGTCCCGTCCTTCATCAACACATACTGGCAGACTTCCTAGGGTAATGCAGAAATCCAGACAAGAGAAGGAAGCACACTAAAATAATGGAGGACAGGCTACAGCAGATGGACAGTGTCAGACATCATGTGGGAGAAAAGAAGGAGTTATCACAGTTAGCCTCTTTGTTCAAGAGAAATTCAAACTGGTCATTTCAAAGGTAAAGAGATAAAGAAAAGACAAAGAAATCTTTTACTTCTTTGTAGCAAAAGTCCTTTCAATAAGAACAGTGGAGAGCTGCTGTTAATTTGGAAATCTGCCTTCAGAGGAAAGGATATAACTTAGAAAACAGTACAAAGGGACAAAAGGTAAATAAGACTCTCCAGTATAAAAATGTTAATTAAGAGGTACAATTATAGGCTTTGAGAAAAGAAAAAAATAAGAACTATAATCTAGAAGCAGAGAGTTATTCTTTCTTCTACAAGAAAACAGCAATAGGAATCCCAATGTTTATATATAAAAATGATGAATGAGGCATATGCACATAAGTGTTCTTAATTATATGGCTTTACACTATGAAAAACAATAATATTGCCACATTTAACAATGGAGTTCTAGAAAATGAACAAAATAGCCCCTGTGAGAGGTGTTTTCACATCAGGGACAATTTTCTGTACATATTTACACAGTGTAAAATAAAAGACATCCTCTACCTCTGCCTTAATATCTGCCCCATGTAGACACTACACTGTTTGAAATCCCACTGGGAGACAAGAGTCCCCCAGATTTAATACAGCCTTTGTAACGTAGTATTTTTTTTTTTCACCCAAATGCAAGATGCTAGGAAAGTCTGAAGCTATTCCCATTAGCAATGTGATTCTATTTCTTTGATTCTTTTCTTCATAATTAGAGGTAGCTTATAAAAATGGATACCTGGGATGGGTCAAGAAATATATATGAAAGCGGGCAAAGGAAGATACAGAACCTAAGAAAAAATTATTTCACAATTTTTGGTACAACCATTTGGTTTGTTATAAAAACATTAAGGTTAAACCCGTTGTATGTGAAAGTTAGACATTTCTTTAAAATTCATGCTTAATTTCAACAAAATTAAATTTATAACATTTCTAAATAAGGCAAATGACATTTTTGTTAAGGCTAAATTTTCTGTAAGGTAAAAGGTAGTTTGTGTAAAAATGAATTCATTATAAAAATTTAAGTCATTTTTTCAATTCTGATAACATCCAAATAGTCTATCCAAAATTGTTAAGTAAAATGCATACCTCATATTCTTTTCTGCAAACTTTGGAAATATCATTCTTTGAAGATGCCTAAAGGCAACAAATTTCTCCATTAATTTATTATACATACTATTCATCACAGGACAAAGAACACAAATTAGTATATGTTAATTGCTGGTATAGTATTCTTTATTTTATTAAGGAAAATCTTCTGTTCAAATATTTAAAAGTCCCTATAATACAACAAACAAATTTCATGTAATTTCTTTAAAACAAACGTTACCCCTAAGGCCTATCCAATATTCTAGAGCTTAACTCTTAACTTTTAGAGCTTTAATCTCACATAATAACATGGTCCTTCTGTTATTTCAGAAACTAGATGACTCTGAAGGAAATGTAAATCAGAGGACTTTCTAAAAGGCTGAATTCCACTCTAGCAAATTTCCTTGTGAAGCTCTGCCACAGCAAATTTTCTTGTGAAGCTCTGCCAGGGCACTTATATTATGCTTTTTCTTTAACCCTTCACATTCTAAGCTCATACTGAACTTCTAAGTTCATACTGAACTTATTGAACTAATTTCCTCAGAAAAGTGCCATATATAATGGAGGAAGCAACTAAAGATGGAAATGGTACTATGCCAGGCAATTAACAAAAGCTATTTTTATGTAGGTCTTTCAAAAAGTTTATGAAGAAGCTATTAACTCTGCCAGAGAATATGAGGAAACTGATACTCAGAGAAATAGCATGTTACTTACCATATTTAAGTATGCACTTTCTATATAAAAGAGCTAAAATAAATCTCCTGAGGGTTTGGTTACTCTTCCACATGACATTAGTCTCCATTTAGAGATACACTTCCAGCGTCACAGATTCTGGTTTCTTGTTCCATTCCTCCTATTCTATCACCTAGCTCTATGCAATTTATAACAGGCCAGCTGATGAGGACAGTGAGAGCAAGAAGCAGAATGGGCTGGCAGCTGCTTTATGTCACACCAGATCCATTATAGTTCAAATCTTCCAGTTTCAATTCAGTTTCATCTCAATGCCTAGCAGAGAGTAGCAGAGAGCCAGGCCATGTGCTGACAAAGAGCACTGGCTTGGGCTATAGTACAGTGGTCTGTGTGAAAGTGAAGGTGGTACACATACTATGTCTCCTATGCTCCTGTCCAGAGACAAGTCTTTAGAAGGAGGCAATAAGAGAAGGCTTTCCAGCTGTGGTTTCAAGTCCATCTAAACAACCACTTCTAGTTTCCTAGTTATGTCTACTCCTGCCACTTTGAGTGGAAGAGCCAGGGGAAGAGTTTTCCCACTCTAAGGAACCACTACTAAAACACGCACAGGGATGAACAACTCAGGGGCTTAAGATAATCAGAGTAGAGATAGATCAAAGAAATCATAACTCACTGCAGGAGTCACACTCACCTTAGGACCAAGAAGAGAAGAGATATGAGAACATAATCAGGAAGCCATGATGAAAGAGAAAAGGGAAAATTTATATCACCATTTGGAGTCACTCAGCATTGGCTCAGCATGACCGCAAGCAAAGTACAAAAGGCCTCAATTCTTTGTGTGACAGAAGAAAAGATAAAAAGGAATAAGAGAAGGCTGAGGCAATATGCAACAGCCATAACTGAAAATGCATAAAGTTTAAAAGGAAATGGCTTACGCAAGAAATAGTAAATTGGTAGTTTTTGTGGGTCACCTCTTCAAAGCCTTGAGGTGGGCAAGCCCCAATTCATACGCACAGCAATAACCCAAACTGCACTCCATGACACTTAAGGGCCTGACTACCCGGTTACCTGCTTGCATGCCTGTCGACACTCCAAGGCAATAGCCAGTTCACAGCAGCCTAAGCCAACCCAGCCATCAGACTTCTTTAACACACCTTAAAAACAAAATGTTCAAACGCTTTGGTCATAAGTAGCGACAAAAACAAACAGCATGCCAAATTGTAGCATGGATACTACTAAAAGTCAAAGCAAGTGTTCATAAGAAAACTAGCTCAGATAGCAGGGCCTCAAAATTATTAAGCCCTTCTGTTCACCCTTATGCCCAATGTTGTCACAGTCTTCTGATAGAGCCCCTCATGGAATAATTATCAGGTTGTTTGTTTTTTCTCTTTTCCCTCCTTATCCTAAACTCTTCATTCTTATTCTTGGGTAGACGGCATCTCTATCAGAGGATATACAGGGTAAGGAAAGCAAGGGCAAAGATCCTAATTTAACTTAAGCAGAACAAAAAAGGGTACAAATATTATATTCAAAATAATTAAGCCTCTCAGTTCCTCAAGAGGCTAAGACAAGAGGATTGCTTGTGCCTAAGACTTTGAGGTTGCTGTAAGTTATAACCCCACAGCCAAAAAAAAAAAAAAAAAAAATATATATATATATGTATACACACATACATATGTATATATATGGCTTGCAGAGTTGATTAAGTATAAACTCCTTCAACTGTAAAAACTGACTAAAAATACTACATATTATAAACTTATCCCTATGCATTTCTAATTATTTTGTTCTAAACTTATCTCTAAGTTTTGATGAACCCAGCTAATTTTTCTATTTTTAGTAAAGACAGGGTCTTACTCTTGCTCAAGTTAGTGTTGAACTCCTGAGCTCAAGGGATCCACCCACCTTGGCTTCTCAAAGTGCTAGGATTACAGGTGTGAGCCACCATGCCTGGCCAATAAGCATTTAAATTTACTGAGCTACTATGTATAGGACACTCTTTGAGTGGGTCTATGTGGGCTATGAAATTATGAAATAGACAAAGTATATGATTTATCCCATTATGAAGGTTATAGTTTAGTAGAAACAACTCTGTGTGTGTATATATATAAAATTCCAGGACACCAGGTAGAAGGATAACTACAACAAACAAGGAAGTGGGCAATTCCAGGAAGGTAAACAGCCCAATTGGTTTGAAATGCAAATTTTAAACAGTGTAACAGCAATTAGAATTCAGAGATACTGTATGTAAGTTATATTCATTTTTTTCAAAAAAATTACTCTAACCAGGGTTAGAAATGAGCTGCAGTCCTAGAAAACCATGAATGTCAGACTACAGAGTACAGGCTTTATTTCAAATGAAAGTGGATATCGCAGAAGGATTCTTTTTAAAGGGGGTGCGGAGGACAGACATAATGTTGAAACATCAGTTATGATGTTACTACAATATTCTATCTCAAAAGTGTAATAATAAAAACTTGAACCAGGAGGAAAGATGTAAGATTTTGCAAGGGGAAAGTTAATGAAGTTAGAAAAAAAGGAATCAGAGATAACCTGAGGATTCTAGTCTAGGGTCATTCATAAGTGGTATAGTGAGGGTGATTTTGAATTTGTACTTCAGATGCCACCTGGATACAGAGACCCAGGTAAAGATGGCTACAGAGAGATGTCTAGAAGTTACAAACAGTGATTCAGATTTGGTAGTTACCCTCTCAGAGTTGAATGGTAAACAGTTTGTGGAAGGAATGAGATTATCAGGGTGAATATGAATAGTGAAAGGAAGATGACCACACACTGGAATAATACAGTCCCTAAGGCAAGTTAAGAGAAGAAAGGTAAGAAAGAATAAGGTTCGGAGTCATGAGGAGGTAGTCCTCAATCATATCAACTGTGGCAGGAAAGTAGCACTGCAAAAAGCCATTAAGATCTTGGAACCCAAGAGACCCTGATAATCTTTCAAAGACTAGTTTTAGGAGAATAGCAGAAGTGGAGACAAGAGTACAAAGTTAAGGACTGAGTGAGAATAAATTATAAATTGGAAAACCTGGGTGCTGAGGGAATGGAGAAGAGAGAAACTCCAGAGTATAATTTAGGTTATAGGACTATATGACACAGATTTTATGTTCACAAAATAAATTTTTAAAACTAAATGTTAACCTCCTATTACTTACCTGGCAAAGATGAATTCATACAACTCCAAATTTCAACCTAGAATTGTAATCAATAAAAGGCTTTTATATGTAGTTCTTAAATATGACAATTTCTACAGAAATAATGGCTAATCTGATTATGGCTATGTCTATGCAGTCAATATTCTAGGACGATATGTGTATCAACCAGCTATCTGGGGGAAAGAAAGCTGAGATACAAAGTATTGCTTGCTCTTTTCCCATTTTCCCATCTAAGAGCAGCACGAAGGATGAGTACGGTTACTCAAGATGCTTATTGGAATCGCTGTTTCCAAGCACATGAACAAAAGTATTTTCAGACTAAAGGAAAATGTGTCAGTCACGATTATTTCATTGTTAACTTTTTCCCCCTCCACATAATACAAGTCACCATATCGAAAGAGGCTCTGACACCCATGCTCAGGCTTTCTTGGCCTGGCCCATGAGCATCCCAAACACTGAGGATAGCCCAAGCATTAGAGACATTTTAAGTTACCTGATTCAGATAGGCAAGCAATTTATCTATAGTATGCCAGAAAATGAAAAGACAGAAATGATAAGTCACATACTTTTCCTTATCCCAAATTCAACTTTTCAAAATCAAATAAGATTTAGTTATAATAGTTTTCATAAAATTAGTCCAAATATAATAATAAAATCTCAAATTACAGATAAAATCTTATAATGAAATTTAAAGACTGGAACACATTTATGTTTGAGACTTTTATACCTACATCATAGAGTAGATAATGAATGATGCAACAATATTTTACCTAGTAATTTGTATGAGGATCTTTTTAAAGTACCTAGTTAAACCTAACATTTTACTTTGCCCACAAATCCCAATTACATTTAAAAATTTGCTAAATCTAAAAGTAACCCATTAGATGGTTTCATTTAGACAAAGGCGTCTACAGTTAAGTTAAGCAAGACTTACCATTGTTTCTGGGCAATAATCTGGGGCTCGCTGCAACAGATGTTTTAATCGGGATTCACTTTTTGAGGAGAAAATCTATTTAAGAAAAAAAGGTTTTCTATAAGAAGAGGTCAATTTTATTATCCTCTAGATTTGCCAATGGTCTAGAATACTTCCAACTTCCTTTTATAAATGGAAACCCATTGGAAAGATCTAAATTTAGCTGACGTAACATTTATTAAAAGGTTGGTTAGTTTGGCAAATAATCAAGAAAGTCCAAATATAGCAAATATAGCAAGGGTCCAAATATAGCACCCTTTCCTATTAACCAAAAGCAGAGAAAACCAGGATACCAACCTGTTTGGGGTTGGGGAATGGGGATAGGAGTGTAGAGATAGAGAGATTGAGAGAGGAAAGAAAACAGAAAAGGAAGAAAAAAACATAAACTTACTCTAAGCTGTTCTATAAATTGGTTTTGGTCAATTGATGATGAAAAATAGACTATGTTACAACCATGATGTTGGTAAAGATCAAATTATGAACAGTATCATGATACATAAATTTTTCATAAATGCCATAAAAGAGACAAAGCCATTTTTTAAAACTGATGCTAAGATGACAAAGTTCACTCACCAGACTAAATAATTCACTTTTTTATAGAACTTTAGTTAATGCAATTGCAATTTGGTGTCTCAGTAAATTATAAATCATCATACGTATCAAACAGATCTTCATTATTACCTGCAAATAGTTAAGGCTGTAAAATCCACGAATGCTATGAACAATGAAAAAGGATTAACCCCAGTTGGCTTACTTAGCAGCCATTTTCCTCTAAAACTGCCAACTACAATTAAGAAGCGAAAAGAGCCAGAATATCATCATTTTGGAATTAATACATTTAGGCAATCATCAACAATGGTGGCTAACATCACAAAAAAATAATCAGACACAATACCATTTGTGGGGAAGACAACAAACAAAAATTTAAAACCAAAACCAAACTGTATGTGAATCTGACCAGACCTCTGGATCTGTCTCATAAGATAGCTGCTAGCCACACATGGCTATTTAAATTTAAACTTAAATAAATTAAAATTAAATAATTAAAAATTCAAATTCTTCAGTCTCTTTAATTACATTTCAAGTGTTCACTTGGCACATGAGCTAGCATCTACCATACAGGAATAGAATATTTCACCATTGTAGAAAGTACTATTCAACAGCTCTGCTCTAAATCTAACTACCAATTACAAAGAATTATAGAGGAAATAGGAACATGTTAAATAATAGGGGGATGTGGACAGTAAAGTTTAGACTATGGGAAACTTTTCATAGGTGACCTTTTAGATGACCAAATTTGTTCATCAAATAAATTGTAAGGCGTAACCTACAGATTAACCCATTTATGTAAGGGGTTGAAATTTTTGAATTTTTTGCATGAAACTTATGTTACCTAGAAAAATTCAAGGAACAGGAAT